CTAAAAAAGTAATTAGAAAGAAATAAAAACACATTAATATATTCCTCAGTAACTTCATTTTATGATTTTTTTTATACTTTCTTTCAGAACCAGACTTCCTGGCAAAGCTGTTTCTACTTCTGACTCCTTTTCTCCCACTTACTATTAAATCCTGTTTCTGACTCCCCCAGACCACTCTACCTATATTTGAACTCCTCTCTTCCAGGTACCCCATGAACAAATCAATGACACTTTTTACCATCCTAAGCAACACAGACGTCTCTGGAGCAGGCTACACTGGGACCATCTCTTCTGCTTAAGAAACTATGAATTCTTAGATTTCCGTTCTTCCCCCTTCTACACTTACTGTCTTGAAAAAAAGTAGTCTACGTCAATGATAATATATAACTATCTCCAGCAACTTTGTGAAAATCTCATCTACTTTCATGGCTTTTCAGCTATTACCTCTTCATTATCATTCCCAAAGCTTCATCTAAGAGCCCTGACCCCCTCACTCAAGTTTTCTGACAAATTTCTAATGCAACTTGTGCTAAACAGAAGTCATCAGTTTCTCATGACATTCAGTTGCTAACATTCAATTGTCTGTGATTTACTTCAAGATACTTCAGCATATATTTAGGCTGCTATGGTCTTTGTACACATGGTAGTGATTGAGGTAAAGCCAACATACAATGCTGATCATGAATGTACACTATAGGGCTGGTGTGTGGTATTCTACCAGAAAAGATCAAGAGAAAAGACTTCCACAAGACCTGATGCTTTCCTTAACTCTCACCAGCTGCCGTTGTGACTACAGGGTGTTATTTTTCCCAATGGAAACTAAGAGTTAGACTCTATTAAGTTGGCCTGGGTCAATTGGCACCAGCCTCCTGCTGGTCTACTGGAAATTCCAATTCTTCCAATGGTGCTTCATTCGCTTAATAACTGGTTTGTGTCAATGCCTTTGCTTATTCTTTTGTTTTCCATTTCCCATCATTAAGTTAGGAAATAATATTAATTTTTCTTATCTTGCATTCTTAACATTGATTCTTCCTTTCCATTCTCTGTTGAGGAGTCTACCTTATTGCTAATAGTGCTCATAGTAGCAGTAGTGATAGTGGTAATAATAGAAATACATTAACTTTGACCAAGATGTCAGCTTGACTTAATGGTAGACAGATTTCTTCTTGACCTCCCTTGCCTTAGGGACTTCACTATTAAAAAAACCCATGCAATTATAAGCTTACTCTACCTTTTGAAATGTAAATCTTCTCCCACACTTTCATCATTTACAGCCAAGGACTATGCTTCTCCGGGACCTGGAAGCTATTCCTTTAATTCTTTCCAATTCTCATCTGTTCATCCGTCTCCAGTGAGATTTGTCCTTTTCTGAGCTCTCATGCTTGCTGCTTTGTCCGCATATAGTATTTCTTAAAGTATCTTCTGCAATGCTGGTTTAGCGGTCAATTGATTTAGTTTATGCTTATCATGGAAGGTCTTTTTTTTCTCTTTTGATTTTAAAGGATAACTTTCTTGACACAGTAATCTTGCTTGGCAGTTATTTTGTTTCAGGGCTTGAAATACATCAGTCTATGCTGTTCTGGCCTGTAGGGTCTGTTGAGAGGTCTGCTGTCATTATGATAGGTTTGCCCTCGGAAGTAATATAGCACTTCTCTCTGGTAGCTTTCAGTATTGTTTCTTTGTTCTGTACTCTTAGCATTTTAGCTATAATTTGACATGAAAAGGTTCTTTTCTGGTCATGTCTAGTTGGGGCTCTAAATGGCTCCTGCATTTGGACATCCATTTCTTTTCCTAGATCTGGGAACGTTTTTGCTACAATTTCAATGGATAGGTTACCTGTGTTTGTAGTCTGTATCTTGGCTCCCTAATCTCTAACAAGGTTTTGTGTTTGGTCTCTTGATCATGTTCCAGAGATCTTGGAAGTTGTGGCCATGATTGCTTTTTCTTTCTTTATTGCTATCTGAATGTAATAATTCCTCAAGTTTTGTCTTTAATCCCTGACAGTCTTTTTTCCACCTGATCTGGTCTATTGGTGATACTTTCCATTGAGTTTTAAAATTTGATTTATTGACCTTTTCATTTTAGAGATGTCCTTTGCTGTTGTTGTTTGGTTGGTTGTTTTTTATTGTTTTTATTATAAATTTTTTATTAGGATTTATTCATTCTACGGAGGCAGGGATTCATAGCGACAATTCTGATTAGTCTTATATTGTACATTAGTTACATTGCCCCCATCGTCTCTTCCTCTCAACCCCCTCCCCACCTTATTTAAAACCTTTGCAAGAAGTTTCTTTGTTCTGTTTCATATACGTATATGAAGTCCATCAGCCATATACTCTCACCTTAATCTCCTTCATTCACCCTCCCTCCTCCCACTAGTACCTCTACACTCATACTGTACCTATTTTACAGTCCTGTCTTTTCTTTCATTATTAATATTTAAGTTGATGTTCAAAGGGGTTTCTCAATGTACCCCACTGTGGGTATACTTTATTTGGCCCATTCAACCCCTTCCATTACTCTCCTTTACTCTTTCAACAGCTTTCAATAAATATCCTTATATCCTCTACCTTCACGGATGTTATGTTTTACAATATTACTGATGCTCTATCTTTCTCTTTTCCTTTCCCTCTTTCCCTGAGTTCCACAGAGTAGTTCCACTATTGCAAACATGTTCTTCATATGAGTTTGTATATGATCATGCTTGTTTTTGTGTATATTTATCTTTTGGATCTATCTTCCATGTATGAGAGAATCTGTTTCTTTGCTGGATTTCTCATCCAAGTTGTTGAATTTCTCCTCCAGGTCTTGGGCCTTGAATTGACCTCCTTACTTCTTTCATCTGTTTATTTGAATCCTCTTTGAGATCTTCGATAGTTTTAAAAACTAGACTTTAAGTTCTTTGGCATTTCAACCATTTCAATATATTTGGATTCAGTTCTTACAGTTGTGAGCTTTCAGAGGAGTCATATTGATTTACTTTTTCAAATTCTTGGTGTTTCTAAGTTGTGACTTGTGCATCTGTTGGGATGTACACCTCCTCCAGTTTTTTTGTTTTTTTTTTTTTTTGGTCGGGGGACTTCTTAGTGAGCAGCCTTTACTTGAGGACTCAATCCCCAGTATCACTTAGGAGAAAACAAGCTGCTGTAACAGCAACAGCACTGTCCAGTGCTGTACGAAGACTGGGGGTCAAACTAGCAAATGATCAGTTATTAGCTTCAGAGGTCCATTCACTTCAGAAGAATCCCTGTTTGCATTCCTGGAACTGTTGCTGGCTCCAACCCACTTTGCAGCCTGTGGGTTGGACAGATTCCCACTTATCCCAAAGGCACCCTAGATTGTGCTCCAGAGACACCTCAATTTGTGCACCAAGGGGCAGCAAGCATCCAAGACAAGGTAACTCCAAGTGTATCAGAATGGGGGAAGCAAGCAAAGTACTGAGATCTGCGATGGAGGGGGAGAACAGGGGAATCCAACGCTCTGCTTGCTAATCTCAGCACATTCAGCTCTCATCCACCCAGCAGTGGAGACACTGAGGGAGGGAGGGAATGCTGGGAAACAGCAATTTCCAGGATCTGGGCTCAGTGCCTCAGTCCTGCCCAGCAGCTAGCAAGCATCTCTAGAGGCCAGGCAACCTTCTGGCATGGACTCAGGCCAAGAACTTTCAGCCTTTACAGTGATCCTCAGGCAATGGGGCTCCATCCTTGCCACAGAGGGCAGGATCAACCACTGCACCTTCCACAGCCAGAGCTCTCTGCTGCCCAGACTTCTCACTGTTTCTGCATCCAACCCTCCCCTTCTCCAAAATCACCTCTCATGATTGAGAGGATGCTCCAAGGTTCCCTGACTTGTAGTTGTTCCTTGTTTTCAGGTCCCCAGAGTAGCTCATTCTCAAATAGGGCCCTCTCAAGAAGATGCATGCCTATTGCTCCCTGAGATATGGGGAGTAGCAAAACAGATTTCTTCTCCAGTGCTGGCCTGCCACACAGGAGTCATGGTCACACCAAATCCCTACACTGGGTTTAAGGATTGCAAGAACCATGGGCTTTTCCTGTGTCTAGGACTGCCAATCTGTTGTCACCAGGACTGCCTGACTTACCTTGAAGTTGTGGTTTACGGCTCCCCTCCCACCAATGAGCTGGGGATGGAGCTGCAGATAGTTTCCTACTTTTCTCTATTGCCTTTCTTTTTCTCAGTGCTTTTCAGCTGTCCTGTCACGTCTTTCATGTTCCCTGATGCTCCCACCCACTTTGGAATATAGTCCATCCTTTGCTACTCTGATTCTTCTCTTTCACAATCACACAGAAGATGCTTCTAATCCACTATCTTGTCCCAGAACTCTGAGTTCTCCCTTTGCAATGTAACCATCAAGGAAGATAACACCTTGGTCTCTCAGTCCATGCTGGAATATAGGAGCCTTACTTTGACTAGACAATAATTGGCAAGCAAACACAGTGGGAGACATTTGTAAACTGAGGGATCACTAACTGTGCTTGACACATCTCATTGACCAATGCCTCTGGCTAGCACCCAAGTCCTTTAGCATTTTTCTCAGACCTGAAGAACACTTTTAGTGTTGGAGGTATGGCTCAAGTGATGGAGTGCCAGGGTAGCAAGCACAAGGCCCTACCAGGGTTCAAATCCTAGTACCACCATAAAAAAAAAGACCCTCTTTCAGCTTCTGTTTCAGTGTTATGTTATATGCAAAAAAACGGATGGAACTGGAAAAGAGTGGATAGACAAAATAAACACATGATATATGCATGTACAGAAATATCACAGTGAATCTCATTAACTTATACAATTAAAATAAACTAAATTATTTTTAAAAATGAGAGGGAAGACCCAAAGGGGGGAAAAATCACACTTGGTCCAAAGATATTTTTGCTTTGACACTCTCACTAGCAACTAGGGGAAAAGTTACTCCTTTGTGTTCTAAATAAAGCAAAGGAACTGTAATGTTCAACGGGAACATTCCTATGGAGTATTTTCCAACTTGT